AGAGAGAAATAGAGAGGGTGACTGCTCGATTGAAATTATGACATTGTTCTTTTCTTCAAATTGTGATTCCTCCAACTCCAAAACGGAGGAAAATCGATGGTTCATCGAAAATACATCCGCAATCTTCATTACTTCATTTACATTTAGAACTAGTAGATCTAGAAATCTAGATCTAGATCTAGGCTAGCCTCGAAACTAGATCAATTATTTATCTGTCTGTCTAGATCTAGACCTAGGACCTAGGCCATAGATCTAGTCTCTAGAAGAACCTAGATATCTAGGTCTACCCTGAGCCAAGAGGGCGCACATGTATGTAGAGGGCGCTGAAACTTTCCGAAATCACAAAAGAGTTACCCTACCCCTACCGGGTCTGTATACTTTGTGACTTTGTTCCCGGTTACCGGGTCTGTATACACTCCCTTAAAAAAAATAGGCCTACTGAATTGTAAATATAAATTTTTCGAATAAAATTTTAGTGTGCAGTAGTACCTAAAGTATTTGTTAAATTTGTATTTGAGACGAAACCAGGTGCCTTAAAGACAGTGCATGTATTTTAAACCTGTTTTCTAATGTTAATACGGCCTAAGATAAGTACGGTTAGACTGGCAGATCTATTGTAAGTTATTGTAAGATAAAGAAAGTTGGGAAATGGATGATACCACTTCCTTTGAAGTTTTTGTCACAACAAAAATATACCGTTATCGATAACAGGTATGTATGGTCTAACGTCGATTTAGAACTTGCGAGATAAAGATCTTTTTTTTTTTTTAGTGTAATCCTTTTTTTAATGTATATTCATTATTTTCTACTGTGTATAATCACGAACGGTACCTTCATCGCTTTACATGGAAGTACTTTCAGTTGCAACCATCATTCAGCAAACATCTCTTGACACCATCATTGAAACAAAATATGCCAGGGATGTGATAGCAAACAGCTTGCCATTTCAAAGAAATAATATTATGAACTGAAAGTTGACTAATATACACTTCACTGAATAATTATTTTAAAAAACGAATAGATCTAAATGAGAAAAATAACCGATTTTTTAATAAACTATTCATAGTTCTGAATTTATACAGAGATAAACTGAGCATGATACGACAACAGCATGCTTGGCCTTTGTTGATATAACTGGCAAACACTCGTTTCTATAAAACTAGGAGGAAAAAGCTGGTTTGGATGTCGATAAAAAGTTTTACTGCTTTTTTGTTTTAAAACTCTTAGATCTAGATTCTAGATCTTGGCCTATTCATCATATTTTTGTAAACTTTGGTTTATTTAGGAATTTTACTGGATCTATAGCTTGTTCACTGTCGTCTGACTGCTATAAAAAAAATATTTTAAAAAACTATCTCTGTTCTTCTCGGATCTTTGCTTGCGGGTCTAAAAGTTGGAAAACCAAAAGAGTCTAAAGTCTAAAAGAAAAAGAAAAAATTAATAAAATTATAAACTAAGTCACCGCAAACGAAGTTCAACTTTTTCATTGTTGTTAGCCTCAACGGGTTTTCATATTATTTTTTTAAAAATAACAGCACAGGCCTACACATAGACCGTGCTTTTCGAGATATAGGCCTACATTATGGAGGCGTCCATACAGACGGTGGGAGTTTCTTTTTTTTCGGGGGAGGGGGGGGATAACATGCTTACACTGAAATGTGTGTGTGTGTGTGTGTGTGT